AGCACAGCTCGAAGCTGGCTAACCACTTGGCCATATGGGCGCGCATTGGAGACGTCAATCGCTGCTGTGGCAGTGCAATAAATTTAAATTTTATTTAACGTTTTACAGGCACTCAAAAGGCATAAACGGAAATTTAAAGCAGGTACAGGCGGTAGCTGCAGCAACAGCAATTCAAATAGCAGCAACGGCAACGACAACGGCAACGGCAACGGCAACAACAACGATGCAAATCCCAAGCCCAACAAGGAAGCAATTGCGTTAGCTGCTGCTCTCCAGCCGAGCGCTGCTTTACGCATTAGGACATGCGTTGGGCATGGGGCAGCTCGAGGGAGGGGCAGCTGGCTGGCTAACAGCACTCCAAAGCATAAAACAATTTAAATATTGCCGCGCTGCACTTGCAACAACAGCGCAAAATAATAACAGCAACAGGAACAGCAACAACATTGGCAACGGCAACTGCAACTGCAACTGCAGCAAACTTGTTTTTTGGGTTAAGAGCCAGATGCGAATGCATCTGCAATCTGAATCTTTTGCTGGCCCGCTGCTAATCTTCATTATCGCCAGCTGCATCACGATGATGAAGTTCGTCAAGCGGTGTCAGCTCTATGGGCAACTAACCGCAATCGCGGCGTAAAATCGCAGCCACAACCAGGCGGAAGATCAACGCACACACACACACACACACGCATGTGTGTGTCGGCCTGGGCATTAGCCGCTGTCCGACTGTCCATTCCCAGCCAGCGCCATGTTCATTTAAATCTACAACTTTTGGAGGGACGACAAGTTGACTTGAGACCCGACTGGACCCGGGTCCATGGCTCTCCCCACATGTGAGAAAATTGCGCACTTGAGAACCTTCGGAGAGGCAGAGGCAGAGGCTCAGACTTCCAGACCCGTTCCAACTATCAAGTGAAAGAATTCCTTGGGCAAGAGCTTATCGCGAATTCATTATTGAAATAATTCGCAACTTGAAGGCCCTATAGTTGCATAACGGTAAATAGCCAAGGGATCTAGACAACAGCTTAATGAAAATTGAATTTTATGTTTATTAGACGCAAGCGAACAAAAAAAACTTCAGCCAGCCCTCCACACACACACAGGCACACACGTAACCTTTTAAATATGCCAGACCGGATCGGAATGGACCGAGTCTCAGCCCATGGGCAGCCAGATGCCAGATTCTAAATGGTATTTGGTGGACCTACTCGTCGTTGGCCATAAGACGCGACCAAAGACCGAAAGATAGCGGACCATCGTCCACCATTGCCATTTTCCTGTGCCAACAGGCAACAGCAACAAGGCAGGCAGCAGGGGGCCACGTGCAACGGCAACATGTTTCCCTGATAAGTGAAATAAAAGTAATAGAATCCCATAAAAATCCAACTGCAAATGGCAGACAATTTTAATACACTATAGCATATGGTCACAGGAATACTTACAGGGTATTTTAGTAGATATATAATATATAGATATATAATATATATTTATTTTTTTTTCAATTTTCTTTTCATTATTATTTTGTTTTTATTTATATTTTATATTTTATATTAATTATATTTTAAATGGCTCACTTATATTTAATTTTTTAAAATATATATTTTATTAATATTTATATTTTTTTTTTTTTATAAATAAAAATTGTTTTTCTTACATAAATTTTTATAATTAATTAATTCATTAATTATTCTCTTAGGGGGAGAAATAAAAAATTTATTTAATAACTCATTTATTGGGCTTTTTATTCATTTTTTAAATTACTATATATTTAAGTATATTTTCCGAATTTCGATTTATTATTTTATTATTTTTATTTTAATTTCAAATATATTTATTTATATTTTATTTAATGATTATTATTTATATGTCACGTGTTGTATTTTATTATATAGATCTTCTTGTTTTTATATTATATTTCATTAGTTTTTTAAAATTAATTTATTTTTTTAAACATATTTTTAAAAAACTGTTGTGATAATATATAAAATATATATATATATATATATATATATATATATATATATATATATATATATATATATATATATATATGCTTACGATTTATTTGGTTGCAAACAGTCTAAGAAATTGAATTGAGCCGGCTAATCACATCACAGTCCAAGGGACAGCGACATTTAGAACCCGCCAAAGAACCAGGCGAGTTTCTACACACACATACACACGCACACACACACACATGGTCGCACAATTACATCAAGCCGCTCGATGCAACTAGGAAGCAAACTGATCTGGCCTGCAAGCTAGAAAGACCTTGGTATGGGGCATGCCGGCCTGAGCCCAATGCAACGAGCTGCAACGGCAACCTGCCACACGCGGCCTACGTAAGTGGCAAGATCGCACACAGCCGCCCGAGCTTGCCACTAAAGGATGCCAAGCGAAAGGTGGGCAGGTACACACAGAGTGAGTGAGAAAGAGAGCGAGAGAACGAGAGAGAGTAGGATATGCACATGTGCGCATAGGTCCAAACGGGCTGCATGTGGGTTGCTGCCACAGTTGCTGCCACAGTTGCTGCCACTGCTGTCGCTGCTGCTGCGGCTGCCATGCCCCCAAGTTGTTGCATTGATTTAGCAAACATGCATTTTTATAGCCTTACAACGCGCCCAGGCAACAACAAGTTTCTCTATTATTTATTCCAAGCTAGCGGCCACAGTGCACTCCAGAATGCACTGTTTCTTCTACTAGACTTCAACTTCTGCTTCTGCCACTGCTTTATCTTCTACTTCAACTTCTCCCTCTTCTTCTACTGTCAGATCTCTGCCCGCTCCTCTGATTATTTTGATAGCAGCTGCAGCCAGCCACCGCCTTGCCCCTTGGATTAAAGTGTTATTAATGTTTATTATGCCTGAATGAGTTTTAATGTCTGCCGAAGTAATCATTAAAATGTTGTTAAAAGAAATTTGAATAGCAGCAGCATGTGAGAACAGCGATCACACATTTTGTTTTTGTTTCTGTTGCTCTGTTGCTGTTCTTTTTTGGCCAACAATGTCGCTGGCCCCACTGTAATTGGCCGCAAAACTCTCAGCGCCGTGGCAGGAAGAGCGTGTACTTTATTTTGATTGGAGCTGCCATGGAATTTCTTTTGTGTGTTCGCCAGAGATTTTTTAATGATCGGTGACAGGATTATTAAAGTCATTAAGCGGCCACTTGCAGTTGTTCTCGTTGTTGTTGTTGTTGTTGTTGTTCAAGTCGAGTTGTTGTCGTTGCTGACTTGTTCTCAATGGCGGGGCTAATAATGTTAACTGTAACTGGCAATGGCAGCAGTAAAAGTTGCATCGCCCGCTCGTATGCTGATGCTGATCGCCTGCATGCAGATGCCTTTGACATGCCTCACATATAACAGCATTGCTGATCATTGAGATGTTTGGCTTATGGCTTTGATATAATTACTGATTTAATCTGTCAGCCAAATGCATATTTATAAATATTTAAGCCTAACTGGCTTCAGCTGTAAATTTCAATTAATTTCTAATTACATTATTGCTAACTGAGTCAGCTGCAAGGTTAGCGAAAGCTCCTCTTGACTCTGCCTTGCGTCTTGCCACAATAATGTCCCCTTTCAGTGTCTTCTTCTATGACAATCATATGCTTTTGTTGATCTATCACATTCATAGTTAGTCCTTCAGTCAGTCGGTCCACAAGTCAGTTAGACAGCCGGTGACTTATTATCAGTCAGACAGCTAGGGATTTATACAGTTATACAGTTATACAGTTATACAGTTATACAGTTATACAGTTATACAGTTATACAGTTATACAGTTATACAGTTATACAGTTATACAGTTATACAGTTATACAGTTATACAGTTATACAGTTATACAGTTATACAGTTATACAGTTATACAGTTATACAGTTATACAGTTATACAGTTATACAGTTATACAGTTATACAGTTATACAGTTATACAGTTATACAGTTATACAGTTATACAGTTATACAGTTATACAGTTATACAGTTATACAGTTATACAGTTATACAGTTATACAGTTATACAGTTATACAGTTATACAGTTATACAGTTATACAGTTATACAGTTATACAGTTATACAGTTATACAGTTATACAGTTATACAGTTATACAGTTATACAGTTATACAGTTATACAGTTATACAGTTATACAGTTATACAGTTATACAGTTATACAGTTATACAGTTTTACAGTTATACAGTTATACAGTTATACAGTTATACAGTTATACAGTTATACAGTTATACAGTTATACAGTTATACAGTTATACAGTTATACAGTTATACAGTTATACAGTTATACAGTTATACAGTTATGACTGTTCAGGCACTCTGGCTCTTAGTCAGGTGTAACTGAAAGTTCAGTCAGTAGATTAATCGATTTAGCAATCACTTAGTTAGAAAACTCTGGCAATTAATCAAATATTCACTTAGTAATATTTTAAATATTTCTTTTAATAATTATAACAGTCGTTGAAGGCTTTCAGATATGTCAAACGCCATTCAACACTGGCACTTGACACTTTCTCTAATTAGAGGCCTAGCGCGTGTTAGACATCTATGGACATATTAAATGAACAGCTGGCCTTGTCCCAGAGGTAGCTGTTTGCCAATTGGAATATTTGTATTTCTGACTAAGACCAGTTTCAGTTCTGGCTTATACGAGATAGAGTTCTGTTCTGCACAATGAAACGGATATTCCAATTGATATATCCAGCTCCGGTTCAATTTAGGCTGAGTTCCAAGGAATCTTTTACCTATTTCTATCAGGCGGTCAAGTTCATTGGTTGGAAACCTCCGAGGGAGGGTGTTCAACGTTGTCTATATCTAGTTTGGTCTACTTTGGTGGGCACTTTCTCACTGTTGTATATACCAATTGGAATGGCCCTCAGCCTTGTTGCCAACTTTGCGACTTTAAATCTGAATGATTTTCTTAGCGTAATCGAACTAACCGTTAATACAACCGGAACAATGTTAACGAGTGTGTTGCTTTTATTTAACTTTTCACGAATGAATCAGATCGACAATGTACTCGACCGTATGGATGATCGGGTGCCTCTGGAAAACGATCGTCGTAGGATCCACAAGGCCGTTGCCGATGCCAACTATATCTTTTTGGTATACGCCATATTATATAGGACCTATGCGACCTTTGCGTTCATGACTGGCATACTGAATGCCCGGCCGCCCTGGATGTTATACAATCCGTTCTTTGATTGGCGAAATGGACTGATCCATTTATTATTGCATTCACTACTGGAACACCTCTTATTCTTTCTTATAGTTTTTTCGGCATTGCTCGTAGACACGTTTCCAATATTAGTTATTATCATATTGCGAGGCCACATCGATGTGTTAAGAAATCATATTCAAAACCTGCGCACTGGCCCACTGCAGGGCGAGGCTGATAACTATGAGGAGCTCGTTGACTGCGTTCTACACCATAAGCTGATTTTGAGGTGAGTATATAGAGTTGAGGTTAACTGTTTTGCTCTTTGGCTAATAACCTACTTATTTCAGTTGCTCTGAGATCTTGCGTCCAGTTATTTCGGGCACCATTTTCATACATTTTCTATTGGTTGGCATCGTGCTGGGCGTAACCATACTCAACATATTATCTTCTACGGATGTCGCTCATCGCGTCGTATCGTTTTTATTTATGGCTGCTTTGCTATTAGAATCGTTTCCCTGCTGCTATCTCAGCGACCTACTCGCCGAAGACAGCATGGACTTGTCAAACATATTGGCCCAATCGAACTGGCTTAATGCCGATAGCAAATATAAATCCACTTTAATAATTTTCATGCAACACGCTCAAAAACCAATTGTCTTTATAGCCGCCGGCATCTTTCCCATCTCCATGGCTAGCAACATTAAAGTAAGTAAAGTTATATATAAATATAGATATATATGGCTATAAATTTGAGCACAATAAATATTTCTCAACATTTTTAGATGGCAAAGTTCGCCTTCAGCGTTATGATCATAATGAAGCAAATGAATCTGGATGAACGCTTAAAATGAACTTGTTGTTCTTTAATTAATAAAAATAAATTTATTGATAATTTTTATTTCTTATTATTTTTATTTAAATATAAATTGAATTTTGATAATTAACTTTGGCACATCATTTCGGAAGAATCAGATTCTGTATGATTTTATAATTTAAAATAGAAATAAAAATTCATGAAAATTCTTTTTGCGTAAGCATTTATTGTTTGCCCAGTTAAGTTGCTAAATTATACAGGTATTTTGTGGGCGTGTCGAACACCTTGCCGAGCTGAACAGTTGCTTCATTCCCACAGACATTTGTGAAGACATTAAAGCTAAGCAAATGACAGTTTGCTCAGGCAGCTTAACTTCGGCTGTGGCTTTGGATTTTTAATTCAAAACTAATCCTTAACGATTTTGTAATTTACTAACTCTATATATGTTAAACTGGAATATATATGCTTGTCTATTCGATGTAAGCTTAATATGTTTCTTTTTCCTTGAGTTCTCATTTTTGTTCTTTAACATCAATAAAAATTGAAATTTTAACTTTTCCACTTTTAGTTTTAAAGGCATGTCTTGAAGAATGTGTAAATACTAAAAGTGGTATGTATGACGGAAGTCTTCTTTAAGGTCGACTGATTATGCTTGTTTCTGATTTTAGCATGAAATTCAAGTCAAGAAATTCTATGTTAATATATCCCACTAGAGAGTCTAACTAGCAAAATCTCATTCAGTAAAGTGTAATCCCTGCAAATAATCGTTTACCTTAAGCCTCGTTTTGTTTGCCTTTTTCTTATATAATTTTGGTTAATTGTTACAAAGGTAACTAAACAAACTTAACTTAAAGTTTTATATTATGAAAGGCAACAGCTTAGAGCACGTTGATTAAGGTATTAACAAACAACACAAAGGTATCTGTGCAACAGTACTCTGCCTGGCTTGTTTCTATTCCTTAATTTTTATTATGTTTCATTGTTATAATCAGCACTTATCGACTAGGATTGCACTGGCAGCTATATGATATGGATAACTGAAATATAAGATCTAAGCACCAGCATAGGCTGACAGCCTGAGTGTCCCTTAGTAATAACAAAAAGTATGCGATGATAGCAGCTCAATAGATTTCAGAAACTATAAAAAAATTAAAATACTTTAGATGTTATATGTTAGCTGAGAGTATGCTAGCCTTTAGCTAGAAGTTTTCAAAAATAAAATTTAAAGAATTTACGAATTTAAGGAATATACAAATTTAAAGAATTTACAATTTATATAACTCTATATAGAGACCTTTCAATGCAGTTCGCATTCAATTTTCTCTTTAATAAATAGAGTATTCCTTTAGCAGCTCGCCCATTCTTTAGCCAACAGATCAGAAAAATATTCCACTTCAAGTGTAGCAGCAGCAGGAGTTTCCTTGACAGGCAGCATTAATGTTGGCACGTTTATCAAATTGCAGCTTACAAAAGGCTGAAAGGAGTTGGAAGGCGTGCCACTTTATTACTCAGCTCATAATGCCGACAGATGATAAGCCAAATGTCGGCAATAGTTGGACGAAATAAAAGAAAAGGAAAAACAGGAAAACTATTCGTTGTTGGCTCAAATTGTGTGATGTAATGACACGCACGAGTGCAGAGCGCCAGGCACGCCCACACGCCACGTGCGCACAAGCTGCAGCTTCGAGTGAAGCATAAAAACGATGCCTTGGTCAAGGTCAGCTACAGCTACAGCTACAGCTACAGCTACAGCTACAGCTACAGCTACAGCTACAGCTGCAGCAGCAGCAGCAGCAGCAGCAACAACTGAAGTAAAAGGCAAAAACGAAAAAGCAGCAGCCAAGTGGGTGGCTCAAAGAGCTCTTCGAATCTATATTGGCAAAAGAATAAATGATTTAAAGCACAAGTTGAAGAGAAATTTGTGTTAAATGGCCAAACTGGATAAGATGGCAAAACGAGGCGAAATGGCTAATTTAATTGCCTGGCATTATGGTACTTAAGGAGGCGATCACATGTTGACCGTTAGATGGCCAACACGATGACGACAAAATGGAGCACAAACGTGGCTAATTGTAAATTGTTGCAATTTAAATTGTTGCAAAAGAACAGTAAGCAGCGGCAGCGGCAGCGGCAGCAACTAACTGGCCAGCCGGCCACATCTATGGGCCATAAAAATGCTGTTAAGGCCTAAAAGCGATTGTTGGATGCCAGCCACTGCAACTGCAACTGCAACTGGCACTTATTGAATGGCCATCGGTTGTGTCTTCTTGGGCCCCACAATCGTTAAAAGGCATCGTTAAAGGGGGCAGGCGTCGTAAAAATTTGCGCATTAATAAACATTATGCAAGTTGCGACAGACAGCAAATGAGGCGACACGTTGCACGCCAATCTGATGCTGGCTGCCACAGAGAACCGACCTCCTACTGCTCCACCTCCTGTTCAAGCAGCTGGCATGCAGCACAGTTATAACGATCGCCAACAGCAACAACAACAACAACAACATTTAACGATGCGTTTATTGATATCGCCAGCATCTGCGGCAGAGGGGCGACGCGACGATCACAGCGAGTCTCAATTTTATGCGCCATTGCACTGGGCTTTATCTCCGTTATCAATGCGCTTAGAAACTCATGTGTGTGTGTGTATATTTTACGATCAATGTAATTAATTGGCAAACGTAACTAATATTGGCAACAAAGTCGCCGATTGGCCAATTGGCAACATTCTCGCTGAGGCCTTAACGATCGCATTAAGTGGCCGGCGATTTATGGGTGAGGAAATGTTCCTTAAATTGTGAGCGTAATGTAGCTTGGCTAGCTCTTGAGGCATATGAATCATCTATAAATAAAATGTAGACTTACTTTGGAAAATTATTTAGATAGAAAGAGTGAGCTAAAGTCGGGAGTGTGCTTGTATATACCCTGACTTTTGAGTCTACATGCCTTCTTCTGCATCCTAAATACATCTTCTTAAAGCAGCTATTTAAATATTCACTGTGAACTCATTCCAATATAGAAATTAAGAAAACATCAGAAAATTTTTGGCCTTTAGTGTAAGAAATGGAATTGAATTTAACTTTTTATACGATAATAATAATATATATATAATATAATAATAATATTTTATAATAATTTAAAAATAAGTGCTATGCAGCATTCATATAAAAAATGTTTTCAGACTCATTTAACTTTACCCTAGTTTCAAGAAGTTCTGGTTTTTGTGCAGCATAGTATAAGCATAGAGTATATAAGCAATATATAAATTGCTAAGAGATGAATACTGTTATTATAATTTTTTGTACGGAAAAATATTTATATAGTCAATTACATTAGGTAAATTTTTTATAAAATATTAAATTTATAATATAATACATAAATATAAAATATTAATATATGTATATATGTACATCATTATATATGAAAACAAATATAAAATATATGTATATATATAAAAATTCTTTTCTATGGATGTAAGCTTCAGTAACAAAGTCACAGTAATCCTTATCTAACTAGGACTTGTAGGAGAATAAATTGCGTTATATAAATAAAAGGGATTTATATAATTATTATTATCTCCATGATTTCCTTTTAAGAAATATTTGATGAGTGCTAGTCTTCAGATGATTGAGCCCTCACAATATTAAAAGCACGAAATTACCATATATATTATTTAACAAATACTTTCCTCTGCAGTGCAGCCTTAAGACAACTCATGATTAAATGGCAAATATTAAAAATATTTTTAACATAAAAATAAATAAAAATAATAAAACAAAAATAAAAAAATAAAAATAAATAAAATATAATTCTTTGCAAAAGTTATACTCTAACTGGGTCAGTCTATCCAATATATAATTATCCTAAATTGTTCGCTAGAAAGTTATTCATTCTTAAATGCTAAATGCTAATAAGTCGAAAGCTCATTTATAAAATTTCAGTTACTAATTGATATTTTTGACTTGCAAAGAATGATTAAAGTAACGTTCTGTCTATATCAAAAAGGTAAACCGTTTTTTTTCATGCCAATGTCAATGCCAATCCCAACTTTGGCATTCAAAGCGCTGCAAACGCTGCGATTTCCCAGGCAATACATAGAATGAAAGAGAGGACGATAGAGAGGTAAGAGTGAGTGGAGCTTAAGAAAATACTTCATCACATTTCCCATGGACGGCCATTTATGGCAGTGAATGCCAGTCCGAATGCCGATCTGCGAGGCGGCCTTTTCTAACTGTCCCTCTGACAAAATGCCGCAACCTGCAAGTGTAACTGACAACCAATGGCCCAATGGCCATTGACCAGGCCGACACAAACAGAGCGACAGAGAGAGAATAATATTATGAGCGATACGTAGAAAAAAATAAATCAAATTTTCTCATCAATCTCATCGAACATGAAAATGCACTTTCAAAACGCATTAAATAAACCATAACGGCACGCATGCGCAGCACAGCACAGCACCAGAGTACAACAGCACTGCCACACAGCACCACCAGCAGCCCAGTCAGGGCGGTGCTGTGCGGAGTGAGACAGGGGCCAAGTGCAGGCCGAGGCCGCGTAAATCTTTCACTTTGAGCAAAATGCAGCACAGCTAACTGAGGCTAACTGGAAAACTAGCGGCAACAAATAACGTAAACGATAAATGCGCATGCGCAAGTGCAACAGCAATAGCCATAGCAAGAGGCAACAGGCAGCAGGCAATAGGCCAACGAACAACTGGCAACATGGGGCAACTGGCCACAGCAAGAGACGCGGCATTTGCTGTGGCCCGACCATATTTGGCATTGGCTTTGCCAACTGCCCAAACTAAAACCCAAACCCAGACACGTTGCAGCTCTGCTGACAAATTGCTGCAGCCGCCTCCTGCTGCAGTTGCTGCTGCAGCGGCTGCTGTTGTTGTCGCCAACATCAGCTGCGAATGCAGGTCCTCCGGCCAGCATGGCGCACAAATTTGGTAGCACGCCGTGCGGCGGCAGTCAAAAGCGTCCAATAATTCATAACACAGCCACTGTTGTTGCTGTTGCCGTTGTTGTTGCTGCTG